AAAAAAAAAAAAAAAAAAAAAAAAAAAAAAAAAAAAAAAAAAAAAAAAAAAAAAAAAAAAAACAGAAAACAATTCTTTCCTAAATAAATATGCCAACACTTATTGCCACTCATTTAATATTCAATGCCAACGCTTATGAGTTCTTCCTTCTTTCATGTAAAGGAAAATAGAAAACAATTATTTCTTTTTTATAAAAACAAACGGAAAAAGTTATATGATGATGTGATGATATTATATGATGACATGATGACGTTAAATGATGACATGATGATGTGATGGGTCATGATAATAAGATGATGTGAGACGTATAATGATGAAATGACTTAATATGAAGAGATTCTATATTAAGATGATGTGCATGTATTAAATGTCACAATGCGTTGTGACGATGAATTTTCTAAGACACAACCCTAGTTAATGTTAATGATGATGAATATATGAAGGTCAAGCGTGTATGTTACTTAGAATAATGTGTGAATGGTGTATATGGTTGTGTCATGAAGATGATTTAAAGATGAAAACTATAGGGATCTCATGCATTTTGTGTGTTCATATATATTGGGATACTTCCCCAATACTATGATGATGATAATCATACGTCGCATGACACTTGGGGTCTGCTGATGTAACGATCCTAAATTTTCTAGTTAACTTAAGGTCGCTATAGTACATATAACATGAACATTTAACGCAGAATTTCTCTATTAACTCTTTATAATAATGTCAACATTAAACAAAACAATATAGATGAAACATCCTATACTAACCTATATACTATTAAATGAAAATACAACTCAACCTATACTACTAATGGAAATGAAATTCAATCTAAACTAACCTATACTACTAAAGGAAAATACAATTCAACTTATACCAACCTATACTACTAAAATTAAATGCAAATCTATCTTATGCATGTGTCATAGTCTCGGGATTGCAATGCCTTCGTTAGCTTTATAGGGGCGCCTTGCCTTCATCTAAAAAATGTAGCAACACGAGCCTTCGAGTATTTAAAATACTCAGTATGCGACCTAAAATAGAAAGATTTAGGAACCTCATGCATTATTGTGTGCTCATGCATCGGAGAATACCCCTATTCCTTCACGATAGTATGGACGTGTACACTACTAGGAGGAGAATGATCATTATGTTTGACATAATGTTGCGGTGATGGTCACTACTTCTAATGGGTGTCTGATATCGAGAGCTACTAGAGAATGCTCGCCCGACAAGAAAGGGGTCCAGGAGGTGTACGAGTTGACTGGTAAGTCCATACTCGCACGTGTGAGTCGTGGGTAGGAAATTAATTACACATCCAAGTTGCCCGTTAGGATAGCCACCGTAGGAAAAAAGACTGTTATGATGGGTCCCATGCATGTATTCGTATGTTCTTACATTATCCTCACGTTTCTTCAAACCAAGACTGACATTTTTGTTTTCTCTACTATTTTTGTTGTTCTTTCTTGTAGCAAATGTTTTTTTTTTTTTTTTTTTTGCAGCAACTAGAAGAGTTGGTTGAGAAGAGACAATTGGGACTTGCAATGAAGGGTTAGGGGAGAGAAATGAGGAACGGTTCTTTTTTTCAAACGTACTATTTTTTTAAAATTAATTATTTAATTATTTTTTATTACTTTTTTTTGGCTATTACATTTAAGTAAAAAGTTATTAAAAAATTATTTTTCCATTGATTAAAGAACAACTGTCCATCTGAATGTAATTCAATAGATAAGACATCTATTAAATATCGACGTAATTTTGAAAAATTGACTGTTTTATATTTTGGAACTAAAAAAAATAAAAAAAAAATAACCTTGAGCAAAAAAAAAAAAGAAAAAAAAAATCTCCAACTGAGAAAAATAATATATAATTTCATATATTCACATTATGGAATTATCTTAAAAACAAAATTATAGGATAAAATGATTAGTGATCCTTCTTTTGAAATGGTCATATCTTGCACGCGTGTGCCTGCTTGCGAGCATGTGTGCCTGTGTGCGCGCGCGTACTTGTGTGTGTTTGTGTGTGCACGGGTCGCGTGATGGGAAGAAAGAAAAATAATTGTGAAGGTTAAAAAAAACAGAAATGGTAAAAGATTGAGTACCATCTTTTTAGTGCCATAAGAGTGTGTATGTCTAACAAGGGATTAAGAGGAAAGAAAAATAATTGTGAAGGTAAAAAACAAAAAAATCGAAATGGTAAAAGATTGAGTATCATTTTTTAGTGTCATAAAAGTGTGTGTCTAATATGGGATTAAGAAGAAAGAAATAAGGATTGTGAAGGTAAAGAAAAACCGAAATGGTAAAAGATTGAGTACCATTTTTTAGTGTAATAAGAGTAGGGGATGAAAGGAAGTTAAGGGACGGTCGTCATGCCTAATTAATTCTTAGGCATGTTTAGCTAAGCATTTTAACGTTGTACCATCTTAAGGTGTTGTTAAATGGATGAAGTGTTATCATATACCTTTGTATCGGCTAAGTTCATGAGTTGGTGGAGATAAGCAAACTCAAACTGTTGACATTCGCCACAGGATAAACCATCGCCTCTCAGGCCCCGAGTGATTCTATCATAACGGTCGTGTAATGGCCCAAGTCCACCACTAACAAATATTGTCCTCTTTGGCCTTCCCTTCAAGCCTTTAAAACGCGTCTTTTAGAGTTACACAGTAGAACCGGTACTCCTCTCTAGATATTGTTCTCTTTGGGCTTTCCCTTATGGGCTTCCCCATTACACGTCTACTAGGGAAAGGTTTCTACACCCGTCTCTATCCATTTTAAGTCTTTTGTTTAAATCTAATATTTATACTCTTGAAATTTTTAGGTTTAAATAAATAGTTTTATTAAAACGGTCAACTTTTAACATCTGAGCTAATTTAAATTACATGAATATGCATGGATGAACGGGTTTATAAAATATTTGTGAAGACTGAGTAATTCTTTTATTTTTCCATAGCATAGATGAACATCGTAGAGAGCAAGAAGAAAAAAACAAGTATTAAGACAAGAGCCACTTAAACTGAGTTGGGCACTTGCGGGGAAACGGACAATCTATGAGAGTAACTCCATTTTTATCAAAGCATAATACGATTTCGTGCAATTGACTGTTTCTAGTTTTCTTATTGATGTTGCAGCGGAGGCCTGGTTTCTTTCCTATTGCAGCCTGAATGGCACCTTCGATGACATGATATCGGTGGATATGCTGCCAGTGGGGCTGAGCCGAGCAGTTTTCAGAATGGCCAATAGGTCGTAGTTGGGATTGGTACGAATGTTCAAAGTTGTTTGGAAATATTGAACCTGATTAAAAACGGACTCCGAACATGTTCCATGTTTATTCCATTCGTATCTCCAAAAGCCTCCGTTGTTTTTGCTTATCAGGTCCGGCCAATATTGATTCAGTAGTGGTTCAAGTGCAAGAAATGCCTGAACAAAAAAAACCACTTAGAACATAGATCCAAAGAATAGTAGTTATTTGGAAGGATCTCTTATTATCCATTCTTAAAAATTTTAAAAAAATTAAAAAAATTAATAATTTTTTTTAAGCATTATATTAAAACAAATGATGTTGCAATAATTTCTTTAAATTTAAAATGGATTTATAAAATTTTAAAACTATAACTCCATATTTAACTTCATATATACAAATTCATGATTTTATATTTCGAGAGTATTTGAGAACATGGCTTTCGAATTATACGTCGGAGAAATGTGAAAAAGACTAAAAAAAATGTCTTAGAGAAACAAGAAAAAATGGACAATAAATGGTGAGAGTTATATAGTTTTAAATGGAGAAAAAAAATGCTCATTTTCTATATCGTAGTATATGGTACCGTATTGGTTGAATTAAATGTTGATCCTTTGCAAACAAGTATGGCATTAGAGAAGTTTTCGGGCAAAGACCATGAATAGTGAACTTGTTTGAAGGTGGATTAAGGCACGGGGTACCTGTGCATGTAGCTAGTGGCCATTGCTGAACCATTTGAAAGTATTCAAACTGTGCATTCACAAACAAGATCAAACTCGATAGGAAGAGCACGAAAAGATGAATACGAGCCATGATAGATGGAGAGAATAACAACAAAGAAAGGTATATAGAATATTGAAATTGTGAAATGAAATGACAATATATATAGAAAAAATGAAGACAAAAGGAGAATTATTTCATATATATTGATTTTGTAATAGCTCAGACTTACCGCTAGCAGATATTGTCTTCTTTGAAATTTTCTTTTTGAGCTTTTTCTCAAAACTTTAAAACGTTTCTGCTATGGAAATGTTTCCATACTCTTATAAAGCGTGTTTCGTTCTCCTTCCCAACCAATATGTAATGATCCGAAATTTTTTATTTAATTTAAGTTCGTTAGTATATATTTACCATAAGCATGGGATAATATATATATATATATATAATTCTATTTTCATTAAATATTTATTTTCTATTTTAAGAATGTACGGACAACATTTTGGTGGTTCCAAATCTTTGTCTATTTATTTTAATGGATTATTCCTTCTAAAATTTTATCTTTTCTTTCTATTTTCTTATTTTTCTTACTTCCCACTTCTCACTAATCTGATTGTATTTCCTTCTTTTTTTTTTCTTTTTTTTTTTACTTTATTTTAATTCCTTAGTTGTTTAATTCTGACAAATATATATATTTTTTTTGGTCAAATCTAACTGTATTTCCTTATTTTATTTTATTTTAATTCCTTAGGTCTAATATATTTAAAGTCAATTTTTTAATCGAGTTATGCACGGTTTAGGACTTCTTGTAGGACTTGAAATATGAATCGAATAAGCAAAAGTATAGCACGAAATGCATGATGTGCGATATTGTTCAAGTCTATACTATATGTGTACGAGTTCTATTAGAGTTGTGCCCAAACAAGATTTGCTAAATGTTGCAAGGTCACTCCTTGCCCCTAATCGTTGCAAGGTCAATTCTTGCAACTATATAAAGTAATTATAGTAGGGGTCGTGTCTTGAGAAAGCTAGAAGGTCACCTTTTGCATTTATATGATATGATTCAATCAGGGTCTTACCCCACATGATATACGTACACTATATGGAGATACTTTCTGTATGTATCAAATTCTACTTACAGTTATCGGTTGTCAAGTTACTTCTTGTACGTATATGAGATGATCTACTAGTGTCATGCCTAAATAATATAAACTATATAAAATCGGGTAACTCCGGTTGGGATTATATGTATAAGATTCATAGGTGGAACAATTACGAAGTTCATCTCACCTATATATGTATGATAAAGACAAGTTCAAATGAGGTAAATGATGTGAATCTAATCATTGAGATAAGCTCACGTGAGTTATGTCACATGACATTAATAATTGAGATGTCAAACCGAATCATCAAATAGGTTTAAAACTAATATTTATTTCGAACTATTTTTAAATTCTAAATTTGTTTAAAATTATTATTTATTTCACTTACAAATAATATTAACTCTAAATTTTCAATTAACCATTATTAATATGAAATCTCATTGGCCAAAACCAGAGCCCACCAAACAAAGAACTCTAAATTAACCTAAAGGCCCAAGGGCTAAATTAATTTTTTAAAATATATATATATATATATATATATATATATATATATATATATATATTTAAGTTTCAACCATACCTTTTAACTTTAAAAATAAAAATAAAAATAAAAATGCCTTTACAGCTTTGGACCGAAATCGTAATTACTTTGTTTTAAATATTGTAATTATTTTGTTTTAAATATGAATTTTTAAAAGTGTTTCAAAAATATCCTTTAAAAAATATAAAAATATTATTAAAGTTTGTACCATAAATATATATATGAACTTTTAAAACTAGCATTAACTAGGAGTGTACATTGAGCCCGACAACTTAAACTAACCCAACTTGAATTATAGGGGTTGAGTTGGATTGGATTACAATTTGGGTTAGATTGAGTTAATTTTCTTAAATCCGACTAAATTCGATTCGATTTCAAGTTTATTGGACAAAAAAATTCGGATCGACCCAAATCAAACAAAATGTTATAAAGATATTAAGACATTATTGATGGGAACACTAGAGTGGCATACTAGAGTGGTATAAATACAAACATTTAGGTTATGTTGAATATTTGAATACAAACATTTAGGTTATTTTAAATATTTAGAAGCAAAAATCAATAGCGATAGATTATGCAAGACTAGTTTTAAAGTATATTGTTTTCATTTGGTAGGTTATTTGAATAATTTTTATGTGTTAATTTTTTTTTTCAAATTCTTTTTACTTTTAATCCATCATTTTCTTTGTCATTGTTCTAGTGTCTACTATATGTTCGGGATCAACATATAACATAGGTAGGAGTATTCTTTGATATTTTAGAAGCTCTTTAATACTTAAGAAATAACTACTAAAACGTAAATCCAAAATTGGATTGATACAAAATTATCAATTATTTGAAGATCCATCCGATAAAAACAAAAACAAAGATAGTAATTCTAAGTTCTAGCTTATTTATTATCGTTTTGTTGCAATTTAGTATCCATGGTTTTTCTCATAATTGATGTAAGTCTCTTTCCCGTAAAATATGAAAATATTTTTTTTTTTTTTTTGTTAGGCATAGTTTTTTAAACTAATTATTTTCATTCTTTTTTAATTTTAGTATCTATATCCTTGTATTTTTCGCTTAACCAATTGCTCTTAGAAAGTGCCCACATTTAGTTGTCTTTTTGTTGTTGGGCAATGTTCTAACCCTATTATGATGATGATTTATTTTTTTGGATGACGTGTTTGTTTGTGAACTTTTAATATATTTTATTTAAGATTGTAATGAATAGCTTTGAAGTGTGGATAAATAATTTTTTAACACGCGACAACCCAACCTGAAAATAATGAGTTGGGTTGGATTTGAAAATTTTCGGGTTGGATTCAGTTACCCATCTAACCAACCCCAACTTTTCGATTGGTCCAAGAAAACATTATTCAACTCAATCCAATATGAATAGGAATGTTGCTTGAAAGTTTGTTATGGTAAGTCATATATTAGATTTTCCTATTTTTTTTTATTTATTTTAATTTAGTTCTAATTACTTAAGTTAGAAATTAAATACCAAGAACAATTTACGTGATAAAAATCACTACAGCGGGAGTAAGATTCAGATTATCTAGTTGGTCGAATATCTCAAGCAAGAACAATTGTTTGAGATTCGAATCACTCCGCAAGTAAGATCAATCGTGTCAAACTTCATGATTTTAAACATGCAGAATTGCAAAGAAACTTAATCATTGTTAAAGGAGAGTACAAATATTCATTTTAGTGCATTTTCCAAGTCTCTTTAACGAAGACTTTATACAGGCTTTATATAGCCTCAAAATGAATGAGATGAGTTTGTAATCTTCATATTTTATGATCATAATTAGCCATTTAAGATCTAAAAATAAATAAAAAGTCTTAAAACTTAAAATATATTAATGAAATGCCATTAATCTAAATTTTAATCATCCATCATAAATTTGTACCAATCTAAGAATAAATGAAACCACTATTGAAGTATCTTGAAACTCTTGTTGCTGAAATGAGACTTCATTTTATAAAATGTGAAATTGATTGCAACTTGAATTCAAATTTAATAGAACTCTAGACGATCATTGAAGTATCTTAAAATTCTTGTCGGATCAGAAGGTTGTGGATTTGACTCCCACCGTAGCCAACCAAAATTGTAGACGATCATTTGAGAACATTTTTCCTCACTTGTGTTCGGTCTTTTCTTTAGTTAACACACTTAAGGCCTTCCGTTCTTAAGTGTGTCCATGCATGATTGGATAACTTAAATATGACCCAGAGTATCTGAGGAAGCTTGAACAAAGAAGCTACATGTACTTCATTAAGTGGAAACACATAACAAAAAGTGTAGACTAGAGCTTAAAAATCGGTTGCATTAGTGTAAGATGCTAAAGGTCTATATTAATTTTGTATTTATTTTTTTGATTATTAATATTGAAGGGTAAATTTTAATTAAATATTTAAAAATAAATAAATAGATGTTCGCCAATTAATCAAGGATTGATTTTAGAATGATGAATTCTACTGGAGCTCCTAATTTTCAAGTAAGAGCTCTCAAGTTCGAAGTCAAATTTTCCACCAGATAGCCTCTTTCTTCGACAACTCGTTCTTGATTTTAATAGGATTTATTCGTCAACTCGTTCTTGATCTTGGTAGGATAATATACTTTGAAGGTCAAAAAACTGTGTGGGATAGATTAGACATGATGAATTCGTTTATAACCTCGTACTGCAATTCCAAGCTTTTCCTTAAGCTTCTTTAATGGTGCGTGTATTGGGCATATAGTTTAGATGCACTTTAAACGCTTGATTTCTTCACAAGTTTGGGGGCTATTTTGGTTAGAATTTGTAGGAACAAGTTTGAAGGAAAATGTTCATAACCCTAGAATTGAGAAAAACTCAAGGAAGGAAGACCTAAAATCTAAATGACTATAAGTTTGTGGGCTATCTTGCTTAGAATTTGTAGGAACTATAAATTTTGAGCTTAAACCGACTTTGAAACGTCTAGAACTGCCATAAGTTTGAAATCCAAATTTCTTGAATTTTTGTTGAAAATATCTTCTTTCGATGAGGCCTTCGCCAACTTCCATTTTGAATTTCAGGCGCGAGTTGGGTGTCTTTTAAAACCTATTTAAATTTGGGGATGATCGAATGAATGGATGTAAAGATATTTTAGATTTTCAAAGATGGTGTGGTTCTTGTTTCGCTGATCTGAGTTATGGAAATTTTTCTCTTTTATACTAACTTGTTTGGCTCCACCGTTTTCATTTGTTGTTTATACATATCCAGTTAGGTGGCAGCCTTAAGGGTTGTGACGTAATTCTTTGAGGCAAAGGCAGCCACACTCCCTTGGTTATCTTCCCTTAAGCCTCATAGTGAAGTGGAAAGTTCTTGTCTTCTCTGTATCTACCATCTCGGGAAAATTTGGATCTCTCAAGTGAATTCTACGTCATACTTCTCCACGGTCTTTTTCCTTCTTTTAAGACTTGAGAATGCCTCCTGATTTTTTAA